TTCCAGGTCAGTCTCAACTACATAGTGAGACACTGTCTTAAAAAAAAAAGAAAAGAAAGAAAGAAAAGAAAACTAAAAAAAATTTTTTCCTCTGTTTTCCCAATCTAGATGTTTATGGATAGTGGGGAAGATGGCAAGACTGACTGGTGAATTTTATGAACATAAGCCCTTTGCTACACTTCTGTGAAGTGCATTTCTTTGTCAGAAGCAATGTTATGTGGAGTACCAGTGCAGGAAGTCTCTCTAAGTCAGTGAAGAGTTGTTTTGTCAGAAGCACTACATGCAGGAAAGGGAAACCTATACCTTGTATATTTAATGCTCTACCCATTGCTATCTCCTCTTTGGGCTCAAAAATGGGCAGAAGAGGTAAAGGAGATTCAGAGCATTTCAACACACTAAGTGTATATTTACCACCAAATCTCAGAGAAATGCTTGGGCAATAGTGGGGAGACTAAACAACATAAAAGTTTGTCTGCTTACTGGCAGTTTGTTGTGCTTTCTGTTTTTTGCTTGTTTTGCAGTGCTGTAGATTCAATCCAGGGCTATGTGCATGCACGACACACACTCTACCATTGAGCTACACCCAAAGTCCAGCTGACAGTTTTTTAAAGAACAAAACAATTTGATGATTAAAGAGGATAAAGCTAGTGATTAAAGTGGTGTAAGGACAAATAAAAGATTTGTGATTTTCATTTTTCCAGAACTTTACTTTGTTTTATATGTACAATGTTTACAAATATCTCCACACTATTTTGTTTTTATCATATTTTTAATAACCATAGATTAATGCATTTGGGGAACCAGCACACATGCTAGCATAAAAATGTACTGAAAAGAAAATGAAAAGAGCACTCAAGTGAAGATATTTAATTATTGATTGATTTTTAAACATATAGACCCCATTGCATTTTAGTCAGCTCAATATAAGAACTTACAATATCAAAACAAAACTTCAGTTTCTTCCCTGCACAGGAACTTTATTACCCTGAAGGAAATATACCTGCTTACCAAAACATATTTAGTATTATTCATCAGATTTTTCAGGAGATATTGCTACATTTTTTGAAATAACAAGTGCACAAATCTCCACATTTTCAGTTGATTTTCTCCGTGTGGTAATGGGCAAATTGGAAGCCATAGAGTCGCCAGCAGGTGTGACTTTCCTGCTGTTTATATTTCTTTTCCCTTCATCTCTACTTTTGTCAAGTAACAGTCTTCAAATAACTGGACCATGTTGTACACTACTAGTCCACATTTTCACTCTTTTCCTCCCACCCAGATTGAAAACACAAGTTACTTGTCCAGGAGTTATCTTGTGAGCATCCTTTATTGTTTCCCTACTCGCATGGATACACAAAGGAAATAACCAACTCGAATAGGAATGTGAGATTTTCCCTATGTGGAAAACAATATACTACACAGTATAAGAACAGCCAGTAAGTGTAACAGATCTTCCTATAGATGATAAGTGGTGTCTTGCTACCTATAAATCATAGGTCACACTATCCAATTTCCTCTATTCCTTGAATGATGTATTTCTCAGGGTGCCATTCATCATACAATCTATATACTAGTAGGTTTTTCACTTTCACCTGAAAATGGAGCTGGCAAGGCCATCTAAAGTTGGTATTGAGAAAAGTGGACATAGAAAACATGCTGAGAGAATCCAGTTGTTGAATTTACATTCGTTGGGAAGCATTTTATGGCCTACCTTAAAGTAATTGTCATATATTCTCTGTAACCTAGATCAAATGTGATAAACTTCAGTTGAAGGCAAGATAGATTGAACTGAAGTTGACTAAGGATCAAGATCCAAGATTGATTCATGAGGAAATAAGAAAGATCCAAACAGCAAGCTACAGAAAATAGTGAAGATAGATGCACAGGTAATGTCAGGTGGAGATAGAGGGCAATAATAGATAAGATCCATAAAAGTAGAAGTGTGACATTAATAAAATATGAATTAGAAAATATTTTCTGATCTTAGTATTAGAGACCTGATGGCTTACATGAGATTTATTTATTTTTAATGTAATAAAAAATCTAGTTGTTTATACACCAGGGCTGATATGGCAACTGCAAGTGTCATTAAAGAACCAGTCTCTCTTCCTTCAATTGTCAACCCTAGAATGCGTGACCCTCATCTAAATGTTGTATAATGGTCATTGAAACTCCAACCATTGTATCTGCCTTCATAGAAGAGAAGACAAAATGGAGAAAGACACGGGAAACCCTTTAAAATTCTTCCCAGAAGTTGCGACTGCTTTCATTTTCATGTATTCTTTTAGCATTCTTGTCTATAAACTAGTGTGACTATTAATCTTGTCAATTTGACTGGATTAAGAGAAATCTAGCAGACTAGTAAAGCACACTTCTGGGTGAGTCCGGTGGATGGTTTCCAGAAACAATTTGCATATAAGCCAGAAAACTGATGGGAGATTATTTATCCTTATAATGGTGCCACCATTCCAATAGGCTTGCCACTTGGATGGAATAAAAAGAGAAGAAGGAGGAAGTCATTCTGCTTTTGAAAAGATCCATTCAAATTAAGCAGATACATCTTTTACTACTGTCATCACCTGTGGATATCCATGTCTTCAGCCTTTCAACATGGACACATACCAGTGACTTTCCAGGGAGCTTTCAGGCCTTCAGTCTTGCAATAGTACTGAATCTTTGTTTTTTTCCTCAGTAACTTTTACTGTTAATTTAGTTTTACAATAAACATAAAAGAATTTGATCATTAAAAAATACCATAGCTGTCAATTCCAAATGAGGTTCTTATTAAACGAAGCTGAACACTATACCTTTTAATTACATCTTTAATTTTATTTATAAGAATTGTGTGCAAAGTGCTACAAAATAAAACTTTGGAATAAGATAAAAATGTTTATCCCTAGGAGTTATTTACCCTGACTGCTTGTAATTAATCACAACTCTTTACATCCTTAATTAACATCTTATTTATATACTAACAGAAGAACCACTATTCTGATACCCAATTGATATCTAATTTTTGAAAACAATCCCTATCCACAGATCTAAACTTTATTTCTACATATAATTTAGTTACTTGCTTCATTTTTTTCCCTAAATAGGTACAGAACAGCTTTTTTAAAAACAAATATTAACAGATCCTTTCAGACTAACACATTTTAATCAAGATGACAATAAAAAATTAAATAAGTCATAAAAGAGAAGAAAAAGTGTTTAGGAAAAGATAATTGTACTCTCACCCTTTTTTTTCCCAAAGTACCACCCTTTATACTAGACATGGATTAATTCTGGTCCTCTTAGTAAACAAACTCTGAACATATGAAGTTAAACCCAATGTCATAATACCCAGAATGCTTAAAAATTATTTGCTACAGCACTTTTAAATTAAAAACATCTTTAATACACAAGGTATACCTAAGGGAACAAGGAGCTTTGGAAGGTATACAGGAAGAGTGATGAAGTGACTTCAAGGGTCTAAGTAACAGCCTTCCTTTTGGTTGAGGTGAGAGGTGGAATATAGGAGCTTAAATTGCCATTAGCTGGGCATGCATAATTCATGGAAGCATTTGGCCCATTAGCTTGTAAGTCCTTCTAATACCCCTGTAAGGAAGTACAGCCAAATATTACACACCAAAGGAAAAGTGAGGTACTAAGAAGTTAAGAGTCCTGTCTGTATAGTTCACGAGTTGCAGAAAGGTGATTTTCATGTTTCCTTTTTTTAACCTTTGCAAAAACAATATAAATAAGTTTTCACTTATATTTCAAAGCACTCTAAGATACAAACACTAGATATTCTCAGTTAAAGCATAATGATTATAAAGGAATAAATCTGTATGATTGAATTAAAAACTTATTAGTCACCTGCAGCCTCAGAATACACTTTTAAACCTACATCAAGCCCATTTTTCATCTCTGACATCAGCAGGTTATGTCTATTCTGCGAATCATTTTTAAAACAAAGGCCAGTACGAAGGGATGTAATTTTTAATAATGATGCCTGAACTAATTTGTGAATACCTGAGAAAGATTATATGCAGCCCACTCTGTGAATGCAGAAAAGACTCTTGCTGCAGTTTTCTACTGCTTGAATTGCCATTCAGTGACTGGTATAAAACCAATACAACATCATTTGGAGTTCATTCTTGGTTTAGATGCTTTATCATATTTAATTTACAAAATAAAAGACATCCATTTATAAATCCGATCTCACTATTACAACTGTACCTTGGAAAAGCAGCTTATAATTCTCTATGGAAGATAATCAGGTAAACATGTTATAAAAAATAATTAATTTAATGTCCTTCAAGTTCAAGGGTAAGGTAAATCTATGTATGCTGCTTATAATCTAGTAGAGATTGGTTATTCAAGTATCAGCAATATTAGTCCTTAAAATGTTATCATTTATATAGTGCAAAAAGTATATATGCACATATGCCGGGCGTGGTGGCCCACGCCTGTAATCCCAGCACTGTGGAGGCTGAAGCAGGAGGATCACTGTGAGTTCGAGACCAGCCTGAGCTACATAGTGAGTTGCAGGTCAGTCTCAACTACACAGTGAGACCCTGTCTCAAAAAAACAAAACAAAACAAAAAAAGTATATATGACACAAACCAAACTACTGGACAACAGAAAAGAAATGTAATTAAGGTTTTCTCATGAACTCCACAATCCATTTCATTCAGAGGTCATCTAGGCCCAGCAGTCTTCTGCATTAAAACATCATTTTCTTCAGTTTTCCTCTTCTTTTTTTTTCAGCTTTAATTGAGTTTATTGGTACATTTTAGTGATACAGTACAGTTACATTCATTGTTGGGGTCTTGATTCTCATTTTTCCCCTTGTTCCTCCCCTCCCTTCACCCCCTCCTCCCCTCCCCATCTACAAACACTTTATTTTCATCTTTTCATTATCTCACATTTTTTTCTTTTCCCTTTTTACCCTTCCCCTACCCATCCCACCTTCCCTACACCTTTAGCTCCTTTCTTCCCATTTCGAAATTTCTTCTTCTTTTTTGATAATATAAATGCACCAGCCACTGGGCAATAAAAAGCCATACAATAGCAAAAGTTAATGCACCTGGAGATATCTCAAACAGCCACCAAGATGGACTCTGGTAGGACTGATTACTAGACTGCAATGTTGGTAATCGTGCCTGTGAGGCAGCCAGGCTCTCCAGGTCATGCAGCGTCTGCAGCACATTCTGTGTGTCCTCCTGGAAGCGCATGGGCACAAGCACAATCTGCTCATTGAGGCTGCCTTGAGAGCCACTGTCTGAGCCGCAGCACTCGCTGTCTCCTCCATTGCCCACTTGTCCACCACACCTGATCCCGTCATTCAGATGCGGCACCCTGTGCTGTCTCCATCTCCATGTCTCCATCTTCATGTGCTGCTCCACTGTTACTTCTGCCATCTTCGCCTCCGTGCTTTACTTCACCTTTTCCTTCAACTGCTGCCACCTGCATAGTCCCAATGTTGCCAGTTCCGGGTGGTCCTTGAACAGCTTCAGAAAAAACAGAATTGTCCAAGGGTTTGTTGGGATCACTGCCCATGTAATATTGAAATATTCCACTGCTTGATGTGAAATTGTCTAAAGACTCTTCTTGTCCAAATTGCTCCTTATAATCACAGTACACTTCACTGTCTGAATCACTTGTCAAATGCCAAGTCCCTGAAATATCTTCAACATGATCATCGTTTATATCTTGTTGAATGCAGACAGCAATTTTTCCAGTTTGCTCCAAGTTTTGCTCTACAGGTTTTACTTCTTTAACACCTCCACCATTCAGGGAAGAAATGGCCTGAATGTCATCTTGTATATCCTGAATAAAGCTGTCTTTACCATAACCATTATTGACAATGATTTTCAAATTCTTATACTTCCCTGATTTTGTCGTCACTTTCATATCAGTATCACTTTGTTCTGCTGCCTTTGCTTCCTCCAAAAACTCTTCTTCCTCTGACTCAGCTCCACTATCAGGGCTTTCAGCTTTCCCAATAACAGTTTTGGCACTTGGAGTAGAAGTAAGAGCATTACCAAGATCTGAGGTTAAATCAGAACTCCTGCCACTCTTTTTGTCACCTACAATTTCATAAAATGGACCTATGGCATGTAGCAATTCTTCTTTCTCAGTCATCAGCGTAGTTTCAATAATCTTTTTCATTTCCTCCACATATGCAATCATGACTTCTTCCTTAGTCATACCTCCCAATGAACTCCAAGCATCCCATTTATATCTTCCAATAGGATCCAAGAATCCTGGCCTTGAAAGTTTATAGGCTCCTTCATTTGCCTGTTTACAGATGCTATAGAACTTGAGCATCATTTCATGTGTTAGCCAGAATAAACCATTCTTCGGCAGGCTCTGGATCACCTTGATGGCTGCCTTGAACCTAGTTTCTTGCACAGATTTCATGTCCACCATCTCCTGCCACCAGTGCCTGCCATACTCCCAGGATCTGTCCATGGGGATCAGGCAGCAACAGCAGATGCTGTATCTTTGATGTTTCTTGTTCTGCGGCTTCCAGCTTCTTGAATGGAGCAGTTCCTAGATACTTTGGATCTCCAACATGCAGATGGCAATGGTGGACCCACCCACCTCTAGGTCTGTAAGGGTAATAAATCCCTCCAGAGAGCCCTAACCAACACAGAGACCATGATATATAAGTTTTTGTCTTGATGCATTTCCATCCCCAAATATATAGAACAGTAGTTACAAACATACGCCACACATGCCACAACAGGCTAGTTGTACAATTGACAGCTCTAAAAGGTTCACCATCGTGAGTATAGAAGTTCTATCTGTAAGAATAAAAGGGAGAGTAGATGATGGATAAGCAGTAGCATCATCTGTAATAATTCAAGGCAGTACTGTGTGGGAGACTGTTATGGTTTGTGTCTAGCTGTTCTCCCAAAGCCTCATGCAGTCAAAGAGCTTTTTCAGAGGTAGCTGTGTGATGCTGGGATTAATGGTGTGTGATTACTAAATCAGTCCACTGATTGGTTTGGTACCACTCTAATCCCAATAGTCTGCATAAGAAAAAAGGGCAGAAAGATGCTTTTGTTATACCATTAACTGCTGCCCCTCTGTCATGTGCCACCCTGCATTGGAGCCAGCTGATTATGAACTGAAACGGCTACAAAATGTGAGCTAAATAACCTTTTCCCCCTCTAACTTTGGGCTTCAGGTATTTTGTCTCAGCAAAGAGAAGAAAGTAACTAACACAGAATTTGGTTTCAGAGAAGTAGGGTCATTGCTGTGACAATAACTGGCCATGTGACTCAAAATCCTTTGGAACTGGCTTGTGGGAAGGGGAAGTTCGAAAAGATTTGGAGCAGCTGGCTGAAGAAGTACAGCTGTAATACCTTAGGCTGTATTATATGGGGGATTCTATTCAGGGCTCAGAAGACTAGAAATCCAGTAAAGACCAGGTTCAGGAGGTTTCTGCTGGGAAGGAGGACTGCATTGGCTGCTGGACTCCAGATGATGTATTTTATGCCTTAGCAAAAGGTTTGTCTGCATTTTGCTTGTTTCCAGAGATGCCTGAGACTGGGATTAAGGGTATCAGACTACTTAATATGACAGAAAACACTTTAAGGCAACCTGACGTTGAAGTGGTGGCACAGCTACTGTTGGGAGCTTTTAGCCAGATGTAAGATTAGAGTCAAGAGCAAAGAGCCCAGCAGAATAATTTAAAATGTTTTGAGTTTGACCAGAAAGGAAGCTCCTAAAGCTGTGACCTATAAAGATAGAGCAGAAGAGATCTTGATATCTGAGAAGGAGCAAGAGAATAGAAAAGAAGGCTTAAAGGCATCACTAGAAGCATCAGGACTCCACTCTTTGTAGCCTCAAAATTGCAAAAGTGAAAGACTTTGCTTTGATAAGAGCAGCATGTTCCAGAATGGTGGTGGCCTGGGAAAGTGGTCCCTCATGATTGGCTCACAGGCACCTAAGCCCTACAGCCAAGAGAGAAGGAAGCCAGGCTACTGCACCAGGTGGGAGAAGACCTTGGCATCATCCATGTGGTGCTGGTTTTAGATGTATGCAGAATGCAAGTGTTGTGGGTCAGGAAAGCTTCCACTCAGATTTCAAAAGGCCTCCAAAGCCAGGCCCTGTGCCCCTGAGAGGGCAGTGTGTAAAGCTGTGTGTGAAGCCAAAGGTGCAATGGAGACCGCAGATTAGAGAAGCTGGGAACATGGATCATTTGAGGAAACCTGCAAGGAGGGAGCAAAGCCAGCCCAGGAGAGAAGCCATGGGAGCTACAAACACGAGAAATGCTGTATGGGCAGAGTCACCAAATTCCTTTAGAGTTCATAAGTTGCCACAAATTGCTGGGGATGCTGGAAGTGGAACTGTGGGACTGAGTGTTTGCCCTACTAGATTTTAGACTTGTTTTGGTCCTATTCCTTTGTAGCCCCCTATGTGTAACTTTTGCAATGAAAATATCTACCTGTGCCATTGAATATTGGAAATGTTTAACTTTCTTTCATTTGTACAAGGGTTTTGCCTTAAATCTCAGAGGAGACTTTAGACTTGGAATTTTCAGCAATGCTCAAAATGTTATGACTTTTACAACTCTTAAGAGATGGACTAAATACCTTTTGCATAAAGGCATTTTCATAAGTCTTTGAGAGGCCAGGCCACAACGTTATGGTTTGTGTCTAGACATCACCACAAAGCCTCATGCAGTCATAGGACTTTTTCAGAGATAGTTGAATCTAGAGTGTGTGATGCTGGGATTAAGGGTGTGTGATTACTAAATAAGTCTGCTGATTGGTTTGGCACCACCCTAACCCCAGTAGTCTGAGTAAAATAAAAGGAGAGGAAAGGCACTGTTAAGGTCCTTTGTTGTTTTGCCTTCTTCAGCCTGCCATGAACTATTGTCTGTCTCCTATGTGCTACCGTGCATTGGAGCCAGCTGATTATGGAATGAAGCCCCTACAAACTATGAGCTAAATAACCCTTTCCATTTAACTTTGGGTGTCGGTCATTTTGTCTCAGTAATGACAGAAAAGTAACTAATACAGAGACCTTCCATTTCATGATTCAAGGAACCAGGTTCCTTCCACCTTACAAGTTATTTTTAGTACCTGGTTTCAGTGGTGATCACAAGAAGGAAAAGAGGAAAAGGGGACATACATTCTTCTTAACCACCTTGGCTCTGAGTGATATACCTCACTTTTGCTCACACCTACATACAAAAGAGTGACAAATGGCTAGTCATACACTTTCTACAGTAAGGAATAGAAGCATCAATGTTTGATGGATATCGACTTATATGTGCTATAGAACTTGGCATCAGTGAGTTTGAGCAACAAAAACTGGAACCCAGCCAAAGATACATGTTCAAAGATGAAGACAGCACTCCATTAAAAAACTAGAGTAGTTTTTTCACACCTTGGCAGCCACACATTAAAACTATTACACTTTCCACAAGTATTAATTCTCACATCCAAGCCAAAAATAATGTGAATAGGCCTCAGAACTTTATAAAGTCTTCCTGGAAATGGGAGCACAACCTTCAGATGATCCAAAGAAGTCAGCACAGCCAGATGTGGCTCACTGCCAGCCTTAATAAGCATTCTAAGAGCTCCAGCCATGCTGTCCTGGCACATGCAGCCAGAGCACTAGGACCAGCACAACTACAGCAGCCACTTTTGTGATGTGCTTATTTTGCCCATCATCAAGCTAGAAGAGCCACAGCCCTGACAGAGGCACATATGTTCCTCTGAAGTACTTATTGTTTGCCTCCATGACCTTAGCCACAAAGAGATCCTAATTTTGCTCAACCACAGTCAGTCTTATGAAATCTGACTGAGGGAAAACCAGAAACGTGTTGATTTTGAAGATCTGAACACAAAATGTGCCAAATGTATCACCCACATGGTGCTCCATAACTACTGGCTGCTGAACAGAGAGCACCAGAAACTGGAGGGGCTGTTGGTGGAGCCAGCCCAGAAATCATGCCCTGGACATTGATATTCCATGGTCTGTTGGTACCTTGGAACCCAGGACCAGCCCAATCCAGCTAAAGGCAGCTGCAATTTTGTGTGATTCTGGAGAGTCAGTCTACATTTTTTCATGTGCACTTATCAGTGAAGAATTTTCCAGGATGACGCACCAGGATATGAAGGGTGCAGGTTTGAATGCAGGTGGACCCATTTAAGCATAACAAGAATAGGAAGTTGAAGGGAGTGCTTATACTCAGCCAGATTCCAGATTAAGGTGTTCAAGCCAAACAGAGCCAATTGGAAACAGAGCACTGACTGGGAGAAGATAGAAAAATGAAGCACCCAGGAGAAGAAATACCAATCATCCTATGACACCACCATCCTCACAGAGTACCCTCTATGGCTTGATGTGGCCCACTATGCGAACAATACCCCATTCCCAAACTACAGTGACTCCAAATAGCTTTATTCCTGGCAGCAAAGGCAACAGCTCTTGGACCTACATAGTAAAGGCTCTCTGTCCATGGGCAGCGACCTCCTGCTCCTGTCAACCTCAATCCAAGATGCCCAGAAATGGCTCCAGCATACCAAGTTCTCACCATTCCACCAGGTCTTGCCAGCTTTTTGAGTAGCAATTTGCTGAAGATATCTCAAGAAGATTTGTTCCAGATCTGTGACTCTAAAGTAGAATCTGGCTTGTAAATGCCATTAAAGACAGGAATGTGAGAACAAAGGTAACCATATACCTCTGTCAGAAACTGGAACAGAGCTGAGCATCACCACAGTTTAAGTAGGAGGGAAGTGGAGGCAGCAGCCTATGTTATGTGTCATGCCGTCTTCTTAGAAAAGCTAACCACCTAGTTAACTGAGAAGATTGCCGACATGTATCATCACATCTGCCAACATATTCACTAAGTCTGCCAGCAAAGCCCCATGGGCCTGGGCATCTATCTAGGGGTGAGGATTAAGATGCTGCAATATTGCCACAGTGAAACTTGTTTCATCCTCAGCACATCAAAAGCTGAGTGTAAGACAGTTACCACATCATACCGAATGTAGATGCTGAGCAGAGGTAGGATGTGCACCTACCCAATCCCCTGCAGACCTCTTTAGATGTACAATTTGCACCATGGTAAATTGTAGTCTTACTTGACAAGCTGAGTCTAGAAGAGGCCCTACCAACTCTATGAAAAAGCTACAGACCATCAAGGGGCAGAAACCTGTGGACACAGGTCCAGCATGCAGGAAACCAACAACTCCTCTCTCCCTTCCTCTTCAACCCCAGCCTTTGTGTGGTTCTTTTTTCTTTTTTCCAATCTTGAAATTCTAAAGAAGCTAAGAGTCAGGCTGTCTTTTCTCAAACCCCATTCCCCTTAGTTGGAGGATCTTTGTATATCTTTGATACTTCCTGTATTGGTCGTTTCTGACTACTCCCCTGCCTCCAGAGAAAGCTCTGCCTTACCTCATGCTTCCACTTCCTTCTCTGGTAGCTGGCTTCACGGCCAGCATTCCTGACTTTTGGGGGTAGTTTGC